TATTCAAAACAAAAAAATCAGGCAGGCAGGCAGAGATGATGAGGGGAGATTAGGCAGGCAGGCAGAGGTGATTAGGGGCAATCAGGCAGGCAGGCAGAGGTGATTAGGGGAAATTAGGCAAGCAGGCAGGCGAGTGGTTAAGAGCCAGAGGTCCTGGATTGCGAGAGGCAGTTGGACATTCCCTGAGGGGTCCCAGATTGGAGAGGTTGCAGGCTGGGCTGAGGGGACCCCCAACCCCCGTGCACAAATTTTGTGCACTGGGCCTCTAGTCTATAATAATCTATAATAATAAAAGCATAATATGCTAATTAGACCAGAGGTCCTTCCAGAGTACCTTATAGACGAAGCCGGGGCTGCAAGGGAAGCCCGAGTACCTGCTGGCAGCTGGAAGGAAGCTCAGGTCCTGGGTGCCAGAGGGAAGCCGGTGCTGACAGCTAGGGGATGGAAGGCCTACTCTTGCATGATTTTCGTGCATTGGGCCTCTAGTATGTAAATAAAGTGACCATCTCCCCCAGATTTTGCCAGACAATTCCGATTCAAGTGTTCTGTCTCATTGTTAGACTGTGATAGATTGTGTGTCTCACTTTTGCTTTGGAAAAGATGGTCCCTTATGTAAACAGAGATCAATATAGCATGCAAAGCCAGGAATCTATCAGGATTATCCCTGAAATATCCTGACATTCCCACTTATTGGAATGAGAAAATAAAATACCTGGTTTGCAGTTGGTCACTCCTGGCCCAACACTTTCCACAATTCCTGCTCCCTCATGGCCAAGGATCACTGGGAACAGAGCTTTCGTAAATTTAGGATGGAGAATATGGGCATCGGAATGGCACAAGGCAGTGGCGATTATCTACAAAGCAACCACATGCTGGAGTTATTTCTGTAATTATATCATTGGGGTTGTAAAGTGGATAATTTTAGGCCAATTTTAATGTCACCAAGAGACTTTACAACACTCTTAGAGCTCAAAAAAGAAATAACACTTTGGAAAAAAAAATCAAACAAAAACATATTAGGTTAGCCCGTCCACTGTGGCTCAGTGGTTGAGTGGCAATCTGCAAACCAGGAGGTCAGGTTCAACTCCCAGTCAGGGCGCGTGCCCTGGTTGCAGGCTGGAGTTCCCCAATAGGGGGCGTGCAGGAGGCAGCCCCTCCATGATTCTCTCTCATCATTGATGTTTCTATCTCTCTCCCTCTCCCTTCCTCTCTCTGAAATCAATAATCTATATTAGGATGTATTCTTTTCTTTTTATACCTCACTTTTCTGCCTTTTACTGTTAGAGAACTGCAGGGCTTCCCAGTCACATCACATAGACATGATCTGACAGAACCAAGTATGCACCTAGTTAGTGCCTAGTCTCCCTTCCTCTCTCTGAAATCAATAATATATATTAGGATGTATTCTTTTCTTTTTATACCTCACTTTTCTGCCTTTTACTGTTATTAGAAAATTATAAAAAGAGATAAAATTGGCAGTTACTGTCTCCAGGAGAGGGGAAATCAAAGGCAATAGGGAAAATTTAAACAAAATCTAACAGGCAGAGGAATGGAGAGAACACAGGTTTCTAGGCCTTGTTCAAATTTTGTTGAAATGAGATGAAATGAAATAGAGGTAATAAAAATTTTATAGTTAAAAATCAAATAAAAATGGTGTATCTCTGTATTCTTCAAGATTCTGCTCATGAGGGTATCCCATTCATCCTCATGTATAAGCCCTTCCTGTGGTGGTTGGAGGGCAAACATAGCCTGGGCAGCCAGCTCTGGGGAAATGGAGACATGACCCCAACTTGCCCTTGATGATCTGCCCACTCGGCGTGGGCTCTTCTCCCTGCTCACCCACTGCCTTCCCTTCATCTGCACCCAAGACCCTGTGCTGCCCA